ATTATTACTTTTATTAGCATATTTTGTCTGGAAACAAGGTTTATGTACTCGAACATGACAATCGAAATCGATTCTTTATTATTTGGTTAAAACTCTTTTTTGGTCCCTAAACTATTGTACGGACCCTCAATTTGGTTCTTAAACTAAAAGAATCCCTGATTTAGTTTCTATTATTTACCATTTTTACCCCGATTTGGTCCTTCCGTCAAATATCAACCTACGTGTCCCGTTACTTGACGGGGAAAATGATGACTTGTTAAAACATTTTGACACCTAGGATGTACAGTGTGAAAAAAAATGAGATAACAAGAAAAAAATCTTAAAAAATTTCTTATTATTATTTTTTTCTTCGTTTGTTTTTCCTTTTTCCCTTTCTTCTTCCTCTTCCTTTCCTTTAACCTTCTGCAAACCGTAATTCCTAATATTAAATTCGAGGATAACACAACAAATCAACAAATTAAACTCAATAGATATTTGACCAAACGGCTGCTGGGTTCGAAACGAAACCAGAGCTTACTTGCAGGAACTCAGCAGCTACTCAAACCCAACGCCTGCTAGGTTCGATTTCGAACCGAGCACCTGTAAATGAACCCAACACCTGTAAAAACCTAGCATTCGAAATTGAAAAATCGAACCCAGCATCGAACCCAACACCTAACACCTGCAATAATGCCTTCTTCACCTTCATCAATCAATTTTTTCATCACAATCAAACAACAAAATCCAAAAAACAAAAACAGAAATTTTTTTTAAAAAATTTTTTGCACCTAGGTTCCTTGTGAACCGAAGCGTGCTGGGTTTGTAGGAACCCAAACGCGAACCCAGCACGCTTGGGTTCCTTGCGAACCTAGCACGCTTGGGCGTTGGGTTCGCAAGGAACCGAACCCAAGCGTGCTGGGTTCCACCAAACCCAGGCATGCTGGGTTCGGTGCGAACCCAGACGCGAACCCAGCAAACCCAACACCAGATGCGAACCCAGCACCAAACGTGAACCTAGCGAACCCAACACCAGACGTGAACCCAACACCAAACGCGAACCCAGCACACTTAGGTTCCTTGCGAACCCAGCGCCTGGGTGGGTTCGAAGGAACCCAGGCCTGCTGGGTTGCGAGGGGAAAGAGAAGAGAAAGGGGAAGGAGAAAGAGAAAGGGAAAAGGGAAGGAGAAGGAAAAAAGGAAAAAAGAAAAAAGAAAAAAAAATTTAAGTTTTATTTTTCATAATATTTTTTTATATTATTATTTTTTCCACATCATCACTTTTTGGTCTTCCACGTGGATTGCTATATGACATGTCATCTGGTAACCGTGAAGTAACATGCCACATCACACAGTTTTTAACGGAAGGACCAAATCAGGGTAAAAATGGTAAACAGTAGGGATTAAATCAGGAATTTTTTTAGTTCAGGGACCAAATTGGGGGTCCGTACAATAGTTCAGGGACCAAAAAGGGGTTTTAACCTTATTATTTTGGATGGAAAACAATTAAGACCAATGTTTTTATTTATTTATTTTTTTTAATGTGAAAGAGTGACAATGAATAGAGACTAAATTAAAATTGGATAATGATTGGTACACGCTTTAATTCAATATATTGCACAGTATACTCTAGTTTAATAATTAAAATTTGCTTTTAGAAATTTTTTTTCCATGAATTCAAATTTGAAAATAATAATTTCTTAATGAGTATGTTGTAAAGTGTGTTAAATTAGAAAGTGTACCAATCATTTTCTATTAAAATTATATAGGAGTATCACATGCTAAGGACATGTTTTTATTGTAAATGTATAAAAAATATAAAAATTGATATTAATTTTAGTATTGATATCAAATGAATGAATTTAATTAGAGAATTAAAAAATTAAATG